AGACCACTAAGCATGTTTCTCGAACCTTCGCGCGAATTAGTTGAATGTATACATACAGACAGCTCAAATAATCAGTGAAAGGAACAAAGGAGAGATCTGAAACATTTCGGAAAGACTCACCGCTTTCGAAGTAACTCCTCTTCATGTAGAAGGAAAAGATTAGCTTGAACAGATGCGGGCATGCAGTTGCCTCTTGTGTTCTCGCCGCTGTTAACAGAATGTTTTCCACCTAAGTAATAGATATGAGACCATTCAGAAAAGTAAGGTCACGTCTGCCTCAAAACCTTTTCGCGAAGACTTTCGCAACCCAAGTATTCATCAATAAGTTCAAAAGTCAACTCTCGGTACAAAAAATAACGATGCTACCTCTTCCTCAAGTTTTCCGTATGAAAGCTCCACGATGGACCTCCAATCCCGCGCGTGTAACATTCGAGATAGTAGTTCGCGCAATGTCATTCTCTTTATTTCTTGGTCCTATAACCAAGACATTTCCGAAATCGTGACCAACCCCAACTTACACTGTTTTGCATGATGCTTTCAAGAGCATCGCACCAGTTTCCTTGATTAACGAGATGATTGAAAAGTGTAACGTAGATGCGAGACTAAATAGATAGACATAACAATACAAACACACGATGAGAGAAAGGAAAACTCACGGTGCATTCGTGACCAGAAGGCAGAGAAGCTACAGCACTTCTAGCCATTTCAACCACTTCTTCACTGTGCCTGTGCTCATGCAGGTACCGTAAAGCCTAATAAGCACTTCCGGTAACTTTCCCAAAGATGAGTGGAAAAAGCCGTCTTACCATTACGTAGTAATCTCCAAGGTTGACCTCTTGGGTTTTGCCAACAGGTGACAAAGCAGTCAGAAGCGCCTTATTTTGATCGGTAATTCCTTTCGCGGCGAGATTGAAATTGGTCATTGCCTGAAAGAAGAGCTACCAGTATATACTGAAGCTGGTAAGAAGCTTTATATTACAAACCTTCAATGGTTTTCCTATTCCAGAGTAAGCAATGGCACTGTAGAATGTCATGACAGGACGAAGTTCATCAGGGATACTGCTCGCACACAAAGTGCAAAGATTCTAAATGCATCATGCATGAAGTGCAAACTTTCTAAATGCATCATGTTTATTGCGGCAGAAATACAAAAGAAGCATTGGATAACCCTGGCGGTGGTTTATAATATAGCTTCTATCACCTACCATCAATACCGCATATTTTTCATGCATTGCTAATGATCTGGCCAAGAAAACCTGCACAGAATATGGTGACAGATGTTGTAATCCAGCCTGAACATAACATGTTCGATAGAATAAGAGCATGACTTGGTCTAAACTATACCTCGACTATTTTCTCCAGGAAAACATTGAATTCGGGAGATAAATCAGCTTCTTCAGAACGTCCTATGTGCGCTACCTTACTCAGCCATTCCACGCCCTCTCCTTTGAAGAACCAACTACATAGCGACACCTGCACATTATCCCTAGAAAGAGCCAGATTCCACATATCTTAGATAACACATGCCACTAATAAAGCTTACTTTGCCAATTTCAAAGATAGCTGATCGTCAAATAATCTATAATGATTGATGATACTGCTGAGTTTCCTTTCAAGATCAGAAAACTCAAACATAGGATAGTCAAAACGCGCCTGGAATCTTATCAAATTACCACACTCATGAGAGAATCATTTTCACCCACGCTGTCCTCGGAATAAAGCTGAAGTAATGCCAGCAAGCTGCGCGCGATATCAAGACGCTGTTTCACAACATGTCGTAGTCGTGCTGCTATGAGTCCGCAGGTGAAGGATCCACCAAACAAAGTGTCTTCTGGCGTCGATTCTGCTGTACTATCTTATATACAATCAAAGTTTCAGTGGAATTGCTACAGATACCTGTGGAAGATTGAGGTGCTTGAATAGCTTCCAGAAACAAATTTATGATTTGAGACCACTTCATGGCTACCTAAGGTTTGAGAATGCGATATTGATATCCATCAAAAGTTCAGAGCTCACTGTTTGTGAACGCATGAAAGTAGAATCATGGGCGGGTCCGTTTGACGTCACGTAATCAACTAATCCAAGCTCGTCTTCCTCCTGAAGTTTGAGTAGATATATGTGAACCGAAGCGCCCAATACAAGTCACGGTCAAAGAACCGTAAACGTGAAAAGAATATCAACAAGTCTGAAAATCTCAAACCAAACTATTCTAAAAAATGACAAACCTTAGCCGCTGCTCTCTCCAATGCGATAGAAATCATTTTATTCATGCCTTCAAGTGTAGAGCTTTCCAGCTCATCTACCATTTTCATTTCACCTTTCACAACGACAGAAAACCGGTCCTTAACGAAAAATGACGAGCTTAACTTCCTGATATGAGTACTTTCACTAACCTGCTGTACCACCCCTGTCAACAGAGATCCTGGCATATCGAGCAAAAACAGGCCGACTGGGCCACGAGCAGCCTGTTCTAGCTGATCGCAAGTGCACCCGAGGGAATAGAAGAATCTGATATGGAAGTATGTTAGCTGACGATATCGAAAAAGAACATGAATGAAGGTGCCTGTGACTTTGCAAACGAAGAATTTCTAGTGTCACAAACAAGAGAAGAAATCACATACCTTTGTTCACCTTCCTTTTGAGCATCAAGCGATGACGACTTGATTGAGCGTCCACCTTTTTGGGCATAGTGAGCGTCAAACTGAACAATTCGTAGGTAATCAGACTTCAAACCTATCGTAACCGTAGAACATGATAAAACACTTGTTTGTTGATGTCTCTGATATTTGATGGAGAAATCATACTACCCTACCTCTGGAGATCTCAAGTATGCGTCCACATGCGCCATCAATGCTAACCAGTCTCCATGAGCACATTCACATTTCAAGCCTTGACAAACTATCTGGAAATATTGGGTGATTTGCAGTATGATTCCTGTGATTCAATTTGCAAGAGCAAACACACTAGAAATGAACTCAGAACGTACCTGCACCGATCGAAAGACAATATCAAACGGATGCGAATCCACATTAAAAATCAGATTCTTTAGTTCCGCCGCAGTCATACTGGAAGAAACAGCACTACGAACAGCATACGGGCGTACTTTACGCCATGTTCCCACATGTTGGGGTGATCTGAAAGACCTAAATTCTTTTATTAG